TTGCTCAGGAGGGTCTCAAACTCCTAAGCTCAAGCAATCCACCTGCTTCTGCTTCCCAGAGTGCTAGGATTACAAGCGTGAGCCACCACACCTGGCCATCTGTAACCTGTTTTTACCTGAAGAAGTTTCATCACACAAGCCCCAGCTTGGGCCTCCTTATCTATGAAGTCTTCCAAGCGCCCAGTCCCCAGCTTGTTCTGCCTCTGATCTGTGTGTGGTTGTGGTTATTACCCTCTATCAAAGCACTTGCTTGCATGTCTGTCTCTCCTTCAGGACCATGGACACCTTGAAGATGGGGACTGTGTCTTATTCATCTTTGTGTCCCCAAATCTAACATGAATCTGACATATGGGGGTACTCAAAAGATTTTTATTGAATGATGGAACTAAATAAGCCAACCTAGATGCCAGTCAACAGCAGTGAGACACCTCTGTCTTTATTCAGTACTAGGCTCTCCATTTTTCCTAGGTATGGAGACTCCTGGGCTCAAGCAATCCTCCCTCCCCAGCCTCCCTAGGAGCTGGGATTACAGGCACATGACTCTGCACCCTGACATTATTGGCTTTTTAAAAATGTGACTACTAGTACATTTAAAATCACATGTGGGGCTCACATGATCTTACTATTGGGCAGCTCAGCTTCACATACCAGGAAGCTTCAGGTCCCATCTTCCTCTAGGAGGTGGCAATCCCTCCCTACCTTTAATGCCTCCATTCCAGAAGGGTCTAGAAGTTTCCTGAGGAAACTCTCTGTCTAATATGGCAATTATTGAACCTCGGACAAAGGCAGGGCCACACTCAGTCCTAAGTGCTGAGTCTTAACAGAATGTTCAGTAGCTGACAGGCTCCTACTCTGTGGGTTGCACAATGCCACACTTTCTGCTTTCCAGGGGTCTGTAAGCCTAGATGCTGTGGTGCACATCCCAGATCCCACCTCTCTAAGGAGAACCCCTGGCCGAAAGAAGATGCCATTTTCCAATGGCTGTCCATAAGTGGTGACAAAGCCTGGCCCTCTTGCCTCCCTTCAGGACATCTGTGAAGGGCCATCCCAACCTCAGAGCTCCTCCTGGGATCATTGGAGGCTCTGTTAGAGCAAACCTCCTTTCCTTGCCATAGGTGAGCCTTCTCCTTTGCCCACTTCTCTCTACTCTGTCTCCTCTCAGTAAACTCCTTCCTTCAAATCTCAAGAGTCTTTAGGTCTATTTCCTGGAGAATCTGACCAACACAGCAGTGGATGCCAGGCGCTGGCCTAGCAAACTGACTCCAAGTGGGATTCTAGAGCTGGATCACCACCTGCTAATGAGGACCCATCACTAGTGGTTGGCACAATGTGGGGACAACTGTGCAAATTTCGCCAGGGCTGAATGGAGATGGGACATCAGTGAATGAGAATGCAGGATAGGTACAAAATACCAGGTGTTTGAGAGAACTGGGGACAAGGACTAGGGAGTCAGATGGCTCTGGCTGGGGGCAGTTGCGCCTTGGAGAAAGACAGTGAAAAGACAATAAAAGCTGGAGAATCTTCCTGGCAGCGTCCAAGAAACTCACCTCCTGAAGTTCAGAGATGGAGAGAGGCTGAGGATCAGGTCCCAGACCAAATAAGGCTGGCAGAGGCCCAGCGTGGATTGAATTCTCAACTTTAATGAGTCAGCTGTACCAAGGCAGTATAGAGGTTAGTGTCTCTTCCTTGCTCGGAGACCTGACTCTTCCTTAGAAGTTGTGTGCCTTGCCCTCCCCCAGCCCGGAGCAACCACTGCAGCCCCCCTCCTTGCACTGGACCGGTAACTCGGCTACCCCACAAGCTGCCCTGCTGGTGAAATGCCAGGTAGGCTGAGAGGAAGGAGGCTCTGCCCTGAAGGAGCCTCAGTCTGGGCCAATGCTGGGTCAAGGGCATCAGAACATAAAGTTGGGTAAGGAGAGCGCGTTGCTGTGGGAGCATTTTCCCACATTACAGTATTCATCACCCCAGCAAGGACCCTGAAGATTGGTGCAAAAGCACTGCTAGGGCAGCTCTTGGAAGCATAAAGAAAGGGTCCCACAGCACTCACCCCAACAGCAGGCCAGCTGGTGACTCCCAGCTGTGCTCTTCTCTAGCAATTGTCCCCAGCTGAAGGAAGCTGCCTCACCCAAGGTCGTTACAGGACAAGAAGGCTGGCAGGGGAGCCTAGCAGCTCAGGAGCCTGGCATGAGGTGGGCCGATCCTTAGTTAGAACTGCATTATCAAGGCTGACTTCTTCTGTTCCCCAGCAGGGGTCATTCCTGAAAGTTCTCCCCAAGAAACCTCCTGCACCCACTTCTCCATCTGAGTCCTGTTCCGTGGGAAGCCTG